GATAGTCAGTCCAGAGAGTCGGTCCAGATAGTCAGTCCAGATAGTCAGTCCAGACAGTCAGTCCAGACAGTCAGTCCAGACAGTCAGTCCAGATACAGTCAGTCCAGACAGTCAGTCCAGACAGTCAGTCCAGACAGTCAGTCCAGACAGTCAGTCCAGAGAGTCAGTCCAGACAGTCAGTCCAGATAGTCAGTCCAGATACAGTCAGTCCAGACAGTCAGTCCAGAGAGTCAGTCCAGACAGTCAGTCCAGACAGTCAGTCCAGAGAGTCAGTCCAGACAGTCAGTCCAGACAGTCAGTCCAGAGAGTCAGTCCAGAGAGTCAGTCCAGATACAGTCCAGAGAGTCAGTCCAGACAGTCAGTCCAGATAGTCAGTCCAGATACAGTCCAGAGAGTCAGTCCAGATAGAGTCCAGAGAGTCGGTCCAGATAGTCAGTCCAGAGAGTCGGTCCAGATAGTCAGTCCAGATAGTCAGTCCAGAGAGTCAGTCCAGATACAGTCCAGAGAGTCGGTCCAGATAGTCAGTCCAGAGAGTCGGTCCAGATAGTCAGTCCAGATAGTCAGTCCAGAGAGTCAGTCCAGAGAGTCAGTCCAGAGAGTCAGTCCAGAGAGTCATTCCAGACAGTCAGTCCAGACAGTCAGTCCAGAGAGTCAGTCCAGAGAGTCAGTCCAGAGAGTCAGTCCAGACAGTCAGTCCAGATAGTCAGTCCAGAGAGTCAGTCCAGATAGTCAGTCCAGATAGTCAGTCCAGACAGTCAGTCCAGAGAGTCGGTCCAGATAGTCAGTCCAGAGAGTCAGTCCAGAGAGTCAGTCCAGAGAGTCAGTCCAGAGAGTCAGCCCAGAGAGTCAGCCCAGAGAGTCAGTCCAGACAGTCAGTCCAGAGAGTCAGTCCAGATAGTCAGTCCAGATAGTCGGTCCAGATAGTCGGTCCAGAGAGTCGGTCCAGAGAGTCGGTCCAGATAGTCAGTCCAGATAGTCAGTCCAGACAGTCAGTCCAGATAGTCAGTCCAGACAGTCAGTCCAGAGAGTCGGTCCAGATAGTCAGTCCAGATAGTCAGTCCAGACAGTCAGTCCAGACAGTCAGTCCAGATAGTCAGTCCAGATAGTCAGTCCAGACAGTCAGTCCAGAGAGTCAGTCCAGATAGTCAGTCCAGACAGTCAGTCCAGATAGTCAGTCCAGATAGTCAGTCCAGACAGTCAGTCCAGATAGTCAGTCCAGACAGTCAGTCCAGATAGTCAATCCCTGTTTCAGTCCATTTTCTTCCGTGTGGTTTAAGTGTACTCCAATGTAGTCTACTCTGATGTAGTGCAATCTCATACAGTGCCCTCATTATGTAGTGTACTAGTCAGTACAGGTGTAGCAGTGTGTCAGTACACCTGAATGACCTCATCCCAGTCCCTGACAGGCCACACCCCGTTGTCCTGCACGTTGGGCGGAGAGCTCTTCCAGTCCCAGGTCTTTACAGGTGTGTTCCAGGAGGGGCCGTAGTTAGCTGACACATAGTCCAGCGTCTCACATGGGACACGCACCTTGAGGTCCATCAGCTCAGTCCAGCAGAGAGTAAACTTAGGGAACACATACCTAACAGAACAGGTAGGAGTCTCTGGTTAGTAAGTCTGGAATGGTATCAAAAACATATTTAAATATACACTAAATATACACAAGTATGTGGACACCCCTTCAAATTAGTGATTCGGCTATTTCAGCCACACCCGTTGCTGACAGGTGTATAAAATCGAGCACACAGCCATGCAATCTCCATAGACGAACATTGGCAGTAGAATGGCCTTACTGAAGAGCTCAGTGACTTTCAACGTGGTACCGTCATAGGATGCCACCTTTCCGACAAGTCAGTTCGTCAAATGTCTGCCCTGCTAGAGCTAACCCGGTCAACTGTAAGTGTTGATATTGTGAAGTGGAACGTCTAGGAGCAACAACGGCTCAGCCGCGAAGTGGTAGGCCACAAAAGCTCACAGAACGGGACCGCCGAGTGCTGTCCTCAGTTGCAACACTCATTACCGAGTTCCAAACTGCCTCTGGAAGCAACGTAAGCACAAGAACTGTTCGTCGGGAGTTTTGTAAAGCTCGCCCAACATCAGTGCCTGACCTCACTAATGGTCTTGTGGCTGAAAGGAAGCAAGTCCCTGCAGCAATGTTCCAACATCTAGTGGAAAGCCTTCCCAGAAGAGTGGAGGCTGTTATAGCAGCAAAGGGGGGACCAACTCCATATTAATGCCCATGATTTTGGAATGAGATGTTCGACGAGCTGGTGTCCACATATTTGAAAGCATCTCTACTACACATTTTAAAAACATATACTAAAACATCTCAACAAAGCCTGAAGGTCTGCAGAGTGTACATTTAGGGAACACATACTGTATCTGACAGGAGGGAGAAGGAGAAGCATTGGTAACCGCTGGTTAGTAACTGGGACAAAAACACTGCTAATTATTTTAAAAAACAACTGTAAATACAACGTGGTCTCAGAGCATTTCGTACTATTCTGTACGTAAATCCGAAACACTCCATTTAGTATGAGATGTTACGTTTCGTATGGTATGTATTTGTGGATGTCCATCATCCATTTTGTACGATATGTTACGAATTTACAATTCGTATGATATGTTTACGAATTGCAATCTGGACAATATGTTACGTTTTTTGCTAAACATATGATATGTTATGAATTCCAATTTGTTGTGGCTAAAGTTAGCTAGGTAGCTAACGCTAACATCAGCTAGCTCTAGGGGTTAGGTCGTTGCAAAGTAGCTAAAAAAAAGTAGCAAGTAGTTGCAATGTTGCTAATTAGCTAAAAACGCTAAAGTTGTCTGTGATGAGATTTGAACACGCAACCCTTGCGTTGCTAGACTATACGTGCTATGAGACCAGTCTCCCACTTTGCGCAAGTTCAAAGTTCTTAATTTGGCATTAGGGAACACATGACCCTCTAGAGCTAAAGAACATTCTGGAATGTTCACCTCCACATTATACTTTGAACTCGTGGAAAGTTGGAGATGCTGTCAAGAAAACACTGGAATGTTTTATCATCGGACCCAGCTGAATTTAAGAACACACCACTTACTGTCCTCTTGTTATATTTGGTAACACACGATTATTTTCGCTCGACTCCGACCCCGTTCGATACATTGAACGGATGTGGGTGGGGCTATGTCTAGCTTAGTGGGTAAGAGCGTTGTGCCAGTAACCGAAAGGTCGCTGGTTCTAATCCCCGAGCCGACTAGGTGAAAAATCTGTCGATGTGCCCTTAAGCAAGGCACTTAACCCTAATTGCTCCTGTAAGTCGCTCTGGATAAGAGCGTCTGCTAAATGACTAAAATGTAAATGTAATGTAAGGGTGTAAATCAGAAACTCTGACGAAGGCCTTGAGGCCGATTCGTAAAGCTTAATAAAGAGATGCCAGCAAGAGCAGTGTGCAGGATTCTTATTTTTTCTCATGTTATTCAACTGTTACCATGGCACCTGCATCAAAGATAGCTCAGATGTGCGATTGCATTTCTAAATACATTTTTTTTTTAAATTAAAAGCCTGAAGGTCAACAGATTGAAAACGTGTTACCTGTAGTTTTTGTTACAGTCTATCACTAAGCAACAGTGACTCGGCTTTATAACATATAGTAATAGTGAAACAGAGACTTACTTGAATTTCTTCCCACTCTTAGCTTGGGTTCCTCCGTTCCACACGATGTCAGTCTCCTCGTAGAAGAAGAAAATGTCCAGTTTAACATCCAGGCCCTGGAAGGACAGTTCCAGGCTGTCCTCCACCTGAACAGAGACACATAACATGATACCATTAACCCTGGAAGGACAGATCCAGGCTGTCCACCTGAACAGAGACACATAACATGATACCATTAACCCTGGAAGGACAGATCCAGGCTGTCCACCTGAACAGAGACATAACATGATACCATTAACCCTGGAAGGACAGATCCAGGCTGTCCACCTGAACAGAGACACATAACATGATACCATTAACCCTGGAAGGACAGACCCAGGCTGTCCTCCACCTGAACAGAGACACATAACATGATACCATTAACCCTGGAAGGACAGATCCAGGCTGTCCACCTGAACAGAGACACATAACATGATACCATTAACCCTGGAAGGACAGATCCAGGCTGTCCACCTGAACAGAGACACATAACATGATACCATTAACCCTGGAAGGACAGATCCAGGCTGTCCACCTGAACAGAGACACATAACATGATACCATTAACCCTGGAAGGACAGATCCAGGCTGTCCACCTGAACAGAGACACATAACATGATACCATTAACCCTGGAAGGACAGACCCAGGCTGTCCTCCACCTGAACAGAGACACATAACATGATACCATTAACCCTGGAAGGACAGATCCAGGCTGTCCACCTGAACAGAGACACATAACATGATACCATTAACCCTGGAAGGACAGATCCAGGCTGTCCACCTGAACAGAGACATAACATGATACCATTAACCCTGGAAGGACAGATCCAGGCTGTCCACCTGAACAGAGACATAACATGATACCATTAACCCTGGAAGGACAGACCCAGGCTGTCCTCCACCTGAACAGAGACACATAACATGATACCATTAACCCTGGAAGGACAGATCCAGGCTGTCCACCTGAACAGAGACACATAACATGATACCATTAACCCTGGAAGGACAGATCCAGGCTGTCCACCTGAACAGAGACACATAACATGATACCATTAACCCTGGAAGGACAGATCCAGGCTGTCCACCTGAACAGAGACACATAACATGATACCATTAACCCTGGAAGGACAGATCCAGATACAACACATTGACTGGCGATACTTCTGAAATGGCACCCTATTCACTATTTAGTGCACTACTTTGGACCAGGACCCAGATCAAAAGTAGTGCACTATAGAATAGGGTGCCATTTGGAGCACACAAATGAACCAAAATGATCTTTCTAATAGTATCTCTTTTATGATCAGAAACATAATGTACCTTTCCAAACTTGTGTTTTAACGGAAGGCCAGCCTTTTGAAAAGCTTGAGTGATATCATGTCTGTAGTCTTTAATCCAGATGCCCAGGTCCACATCTTTACTGTAGCTAATGATACTGCACTGCCGAAACCAACCTGAGGAGAGAGGAGCAGAGACCAAGGCCATGTCAACCTGTAGGGAGTGATACTGTAGGGAGGGATACTGTAGGTAATGATACTGTAGGCAATGATACTGTAGGGAGTGATACTGTAGGGAGTGATACTGTAGGGAGTGATACTGTAGGGAGTGATACTGTAGGGAGTGATACTGTAGGTAATGATACTGTAGGGAGTGATACTGTAGGGAGGATACTGTAGGTAATGATACTGTAGGGAGTGATACTGTAGGGAGTGATACTGTAGGGAGTGATACTGTAGGGAGGGATACTGTAGGGAGTGATACTGTAGGGAGGATACTGTAGGTAATGATACTGTAGGGAGTGATACTGTAGGGAGTGATACTGTAGGGAGTGATACTGTAGGAAGTTATACTGTAGGGAGTGATACTGTAGGGAGTGATACTGTAGGGAGTGATACTGTAGGGAGTGATACTGTAGGGAGGATACTGTAGGTAATGATACTGTAGGGAGTGATACTGTAGGGAGTGATACTGTAGGTAATGATACTGTAGAGAGTGATACTGTAGGGAGTGATACTGTAGGGAGTGATACTGTAGGTAATGATACTGTAGGGAGTGATACTGTAGGGAGTGATACTGTAGGGAGTGATACTGTAGGGAGTGATACTGTAGGGAGTGATACTGTAGGGAGTGATACTGTAGGTAATGATACTGTAGGGAGTGATACTGTAGGGAGTGATACTGTAGGGAGTGATACTGTAGGGAGTGATACTGTAGGTAATGATACTGTAGGGAGTGATACTGTAGGGAGTGATACTGCAGGTAATGATACTGTAGGGAGTGATACTGTAGTGAGGATACTGTAGGTAATGATACTGTAGGGAGTGATACTGTAGTGAGGATACTGTAGGTAATGATACTGTAGGGAGTGATACTGTAGGTAATGATACTGTAGGGAGTGATACTGTAGGGAGTGATACTGCAGGTAATGATACTGTAGGGAGTGATACTGTAGTGAGGATACTGTAGGTAATGATACTGTAGGGAGAGATACTGTAGGGAGAGATACTGTAGGCAATGATACTGTAGGGAGTGATACTGTAGGGAGTGATACTGTAGGGAGTGATACTGTAGGGAGGATACTGTAGGTAATGATACTGTAGAGAGAGATACTGTAGGGAGTGATACTGTAGGGAGAGATACTGTAGAGAGAGATACTGTAGGGAGTGATACTGTAGGGAGTGATACTGTAGGAAGTGATACTGCAGGTAGTGATACTGTAGGGAGAGATACTGTAGGTAATGATACTGTAGGGAGTGATACTGTAGGGAGAGATACTGTAGGGAGTGATACTGCAGGTAATGATACTGTAGGGAGGATACTGTAGGGAGTGATACTGTAGGGAGTGATACTGTAGGGAGTGATACTGTAGGGAGGATACTGTAGGTAATGATACTGTAGGGAGTGATACTGTAGGCAATGATACTGTAGGGAGTGATACTGTAGGGAGGATACTGTAGGTAATGATACTGTAGGGAGTGATACTGTAGGCAATGATACTGTAGGGAGTGATACTGTAGGGAGGATACTGTAGGGAGTGATACTGTAGGGAGGATACTGTAGGTAATGATACTGTAGGGAGGATACTGTAGGGAGTGATACTGTAGGGAGAGATACTGTAGGGAGGATACTGTAGGTAATGATACTGTAGGGAGTGATACTGTAGGAAGTGATACTGTAGGGAGAGATACTGTAGGGAGGATACTGTAGGCAATGATACTGTAGGGAGTGATACTGTAGGGAGGATACTGTAGGGAGTGATACTGTAGGGAGGATACTGTAGGTAATGATACTGTAGGGAGTGATACTGTAGGCAATGATACTGTAGGGAGTGATACTGTAGGGAGGATACTGTAGGGAGTGATACTGTAGGGAGGATACTGTAGGTAATGATACTGTAGGGAGTGATACTGTAGGGAGGATACTGTAGGTAATGATACTGTAGGGAGGATACTGTAGGGAGTGATACTGTAGGGAGGATACTGTAGGTAATGATACTGTAGGGAGTGATACTGTAGGGAGTGATACTGTAGGCAATGATACTGTAAGGAGGATACTGTAGGGAGTGATACTGTAGGGAGAGATACTGTAGGGAGGATACTGTAGGCAATGATACTGTAGGGAGTGATACTGTAGGGAGGATACTGTAGGGAGTGATACTGTAGGGAGGATACTGTAGGTAATGATACTGTAGGGAGTGATACTGTAGGCAATGATACTGTAGGGAGTGATACTGTAGGGAGGATACTGTAGGGAGTGATACTGTAGGGAGGATACTGTAGGTAATGATACTGTAGGGAGGATACTGTAGGGAGTGATACTGTAGGGAGGATACTGTAGGTAATGATACTGTAGGGAGTGATACTGTAGGGAGTGATACTGTAGGCAATGATACTGTAGGGAGTGATACTTCAGGTAATGATACTGTAGGGAGGATACTGTAGGGAGTGATACTGTAGGTAATGATATTGTAGGGAGTGATACTGTAGGTAATGATACTGTAGGGAGGGATACTGCAGGTAATGATACTGTAGGGAGGATACTGTAGGGAGTGATACTGTAGGGAGAGATACTGTAGGAAGTGATACTGTAGGGAGTGATACTGTAGGCAATGATACTGTAGGGAGTGATACTGTAGGGAGTGATACTGTAGGTAATGATACTGTAGGGAGTGATACTGTAGGGAGTGATACTGTAGGTAATGATACTGTAGGGAGTGATACTGTAGGGAGTGATACTGTAGGCAATGATACTGTAGGGAGTGATACTGTAGGGAGTGATACTGTAGGGAGTGATACTGTAGGCAATGATACTGTAGGGAGTGATACTGTAGGGAGTGATACTGTAGGGAGTGATACTGTAGGGAGTGATACTGTAGGTAATGATACTGTAGGGAGTGATACTGTAGGGAGTGATACTGTAGGCAATGATACTGTAGGCAATGATACTGTAGGGAGTGATACTGTAGGGAGTGATACTGTAGGAAGTGATACTGCAGGTAATGATACTGTAGGGAGTGATACTGTAGGGAGTGATACTGTAGGGAGTGATACTGTAGGGAGTGATACTGTAGGGAGTGATACTGTAGGCAATGATACTGTAGGGAGTGATATCTGTAGGGAGTGATACTGTAGGAAGTGTATAGTGAGGGTAATGATACTGTAGGGAGTGATACTGTAGGGAAGTGATACTGTAGGGAGTGATACTGTAGGTAATGATACTGTAGGGAGTGATACTGTAGGGAGTGATACTGTAGGCAATGATACTGTAGGGAGTGATACTGTAGGGAGTGATACTGTAGGAAGTGATACTGCAGGTAATGATACTGTAGGGAGTGATACTGTAGGGAGTGATACTGTAGGGAGTGATACTGTAGGGAGTGATACTGCAGGTAATGATACTGTAGGGAGTGATACTGTAGGGAGTGATACTGTAGGAAGTGATACTGTAGGGAGTGATACTGTAGGGAGAGATACTGTAGGGAGTGATACTGTAGGTAATTATATTGTAGGGAGTGATACTGTAGGGAGTGATACTGTAGGTAATGATATTGTAGGGAGTAATACTGTAGGGAGTGATACTGTAGGGAGTGATACTGTAGGAAGTGATACTGTAGGGAGTGATACTGTAGGAAGTGATACTGTAGGGAGTGATTCTGTAGGTAATGATATTGTAGGGAGTGATACTGTAGGGAGTGATACTGTAGGGAGTAATACTGTAGGGAGTGATACTGTAGGGAGTGATACTGTAGGGAGTGATACTGTAGGGAGAGATACTGTAGGGAGTGATACTGTAGGGAGAGATACTGTAGGGAGAGATACTGTAGGGAGTGATACTGTAGGGAGAGATACTGTAGGGAGTGATACTGTAGGGAGTGATACTGTAGGGAGATATACTGTAGGGAGAGATACTGTAGGCAATGATACTGTAGGGAGTGATACTGCAGGTAATGATACTGTAGGGAGTGATACTGTAGGGAGAGATACTGTAGGGAGTGATACGGTAGGGAGTGATACTGCAGGTAATGATACTGCAGGTAATGATACTGTAAGGAGTGATACTGTAGGGAGAGATACTGTAGGGAGTGATACGGTAGGGAGTGATACTGCAGGTAATGATACTGCAGGTAATGATACTGTAAGGAGTGATACTGTAGGGAGGATACTGTAGGCAATGATACTGTAGGGAGTGATACTGTAGGGAGTGATACTGTAGGGAGGGATACTGTAGGGAGAGATACTGTAGGGAGTAATACTGTAGGGAGTGATACTGCAGGTAATGATACTGCAGGTAATGATACTGTAAGGAGTGATACTGTAGGGAGAGATACTGTAGGCAATGATACTGTAGGGAGTGATACTGCAGGTAATGATACTGTAAGGAGTGATACTGTAGGGAGTGATACTGTAGGCAATGATACTGTAGGGAGTGATACTGCAGGTAATGATACTGTAAGGAGTGATACTGTAGGGAGGGATACTGTAGGGAGTGATACTGTAGGGAGGGATACTGTAGGGAGAGATACTGCAGGTAATGATACTGTAAGGAGTGATACTGTAGGGAGGGATACTGTAGGGAGTGATACTGTAGGGAGGGATACTGTAGGGAGAGATACTGTAGGGAGTAATACTGTAGGGAGTGATACTGCAGGTAATGATACTGCAGGTAATGATACTGTAAGGAGTGATACTGCAGGTAATGATAGTGTAGGGAGTGAGGGACTGATACTGTAGGAAGTGATACTGTAGTGAGTGATACTGTAGGGAGTGATTCTGTAGGTAATTATATTGTAGGGAGAGATACTGTAGGGAGTGATACTGTAGTGAGTGATACTGTAGGGAGTGATACTGCAGGTAATGATACTGTAGGGAGAGATACTGTAGGGAGTGATACTGTAGGGAGTGATACTGTAGGGAGAGATACTGTAGGGAGTGATACTGTAGGGAGTGATTCTGTAGGGAGAGTTGATTACTGTAGGGGAGAGAAGTAGGGAGAGAACTGTAGGGAGTGATACTGTAGGGAGATCAGGGATACTGAGGTACAGGTAATGATACTGTAGGGAGGGGAGTGATACTGTAGGGAGTGATACTGTAGGGAGTGATACTGTAGGGAATGATACGTGGGAGGATACGTAGGGAGTGTACTGAGGTGAGATGCATATGATACGGGAGAGATACTGTAGGGAGTGATACTGTAGGGAGTGATACTGTAGGGAGTGATACTGAGGAGAATGATACTGTAGGGGAGGATACTGAGGTATGATACTGTAGGGAGTGATACTGAGAGGTAAGATACTGTAGGGAGAGATACTGTAGGGAGTGATACTGTAGGGAGTGATACTGTAGGGAGTGATACTGTAGGGAGTGATACTGTAGGGAGAGATACTGTAGGGAGTGATACTGCAGGAATGATACTGTAGGGAGGATACTGTAGGGAGAGATACTGTAGGGAGTGATACTGTAGGAGTGATACGTAGTGGAGTGATACTGTAGGGAGTGATCTGTAGGAGTGGTGGGAATGATACTGTAGGGAGAGATACTGTAGGGAGTGATACTGTAGGGAGTGATACTGTAGGGAGGATACTGCAGGTAATGATACTGTAGGGAGTGATACTGTAGGGAGTGATATGTAGGGAGTGATACTTGTAGGGATGATACTGTAGGGAGTGATACTGTAGGGATGATACTGTAGGGAGAGATACTGTAGGGAGGATACTGTAGGGAGTGATACTGTAGGGAGTGATACTGAGGTAATGATACTGTAGGGAGTGATACTGTAGGGAGTGATATGTAGGGAGTGATACTGTAGGGAGTGATACTGTAGGAATGATACTGTAGGAATGATACTGTAGGGAGAGTGATACTGTAGGGAGAGATACTGTAGGGAGAGTATACTGTAGGAAGTGATACTGTAGGGAGTGATACTGTAGGAATGATACTGTAGGAGTGATACTGTAGGGAGTGATACTGTAGGGAGTGATACTGTAGGGAGTGATACTGTAGGAATGATACTGTAGGGAGTGATACTGAGGTAGTGATACTGTAGGGAGTGATACTGTAGGGAGGGAGGATACTGTAGGGAGAGATACTGTAGGGAAGGATACTGTAGGGAGTGATACTGTAGGGAGTGATACTGTAGGAAGTGATATGTAGGGAGTGATACTGTAGGGAGTGATACTGTAGGAGTGATACTGTGAGGAGTGATATACTGTAGGGAGTGATTACGTAGGGAGTGATACTGTAGGGAGTGATACTGGTAGGGAGAGATACTGTGGAGTGATGATACTGTAGGGAGGATACTGTAGGGAGAGATACGTAGGGAGTGATACTGTAGGGAGTGATACTGTAGGAGTGATACTGTAGGGAGTGATACTGTAGGGAGTGATACTGCAGGTAATGATATGTAGGGAGTGATACTGTAGGGAGTGATACTGTAGGCAATGATACTGTAGGGGGTCTGTGAGATACTGTAGGTAATTGGGAGTACTGTAGGGAGTGATACTGTAAGGCAATGTACTGTAGGGAGGATACTGTAGGGAGTGATACTGTAGGGAGTGATACTGTAGGAGTGATACTGTAGGGAGTGATACTGTAGGGAGGAGATACTGTAGGGAGGGATACTGTAGGGGAGTGATACTGTAGGGAGGATACTGTAGGGAGTGATACTGTAGGGAGTGATACTGCAGGCAATGATACTGTAGGGGAGGATACTGTAGGAGTATACTGTAGGGAGTGATACTGTAGGGAGTGATACTGTAGGGAGTGATACTGCAGGTATGATACTGTAGGGAGTGTACTGTAGGGGTGATGACTGTAGGGAGATGATACTGTAGGGAGAGATACTGTAGGGAGTGATATGTAGGGAGTGATACTGTAGGAGGATACTGTAGGGACGTGATACTGAGGGAGTGATACTGTAGGCAATGATACTGTAGGGAGAGATACTGTAGGAATGATACTGTAGGGAGTGATACTGTAGGCAGTGAACTGAGGATGATATGTAGGGAGTGATACGTAGGGAGTGAATACTGTAGGGAAGGATACTGTAGGAGTGATACTGTAGGGAGTGATACTGTAGGGAGTGATTCTGTAGGGAGGGATACTGTAGGGAGTGATACTGTAGGGAGTGATACTGTAGGCAATGATACTGTAGGGAGAGATACTGTAGGCAATGATACTGTAGGGAGTGATACTGTAGGCAATGATACTGTAGGGAGAGATACTGTAGGGAGTGATACTGTAGGGAGTGATACTGTAGGGAGTGATACTGTAGGGAGTGATACTGTAGGGAGTGATACTGTAGGGAGTGATACTGTAGGGAGTGATACTGTAGGGAGATGATACTGTAGGGAGTGATACTGTAGGGAGTGATACTGTAGGGAGGGATACTGTAGGAATGATACTGTAGGGAGGATACTGTAGGCAATGATACTGTAGGGAGAGATACTGTAGGCAAGTAGATACTGTAGGGAGTGATACTGTAGGGAGTGATACTGTAGGGAGGATACTGTAGGTGAAGTGATACTGTAGGAGTGATACTGTAGGGAGTGATACTGTAGATAAGAGAATGAGTAATGATACTGTAGGGAGTGATACTGTAGGGAGTGATACTGTAGGGAGGATACTGTAGGGAGTGATACTGTAGGGAGTGATACTGTAGGCAATGATACTGTAGGGAGAGATACTGTAGGCAATGATACTGTAGGGAGTGATACTGTAGGCAATGATACTGTAGGGAGAGATACTGTAGGGGTGATACTGTAGGGATGATACTGTAGGGAGTGATACTGTAGGGAGTGATACTGTAGGGAGAGATACTGAGGTAATGATACTGTAGGGGAGATACTGTAGGGAATGATATGTAGGGAGGATACTGTAGGAGTGATACTGTAGGGAGAGATACTGTAGGGATGATACTGTAGGGAGATGATACTGTAGGAATGATACTGTAGGGAGTGATACTGTAGGGACGTGATACTGTAGGATGATACTGTAGGGAATGATACTGTAGGGAGTGATACTGTAGGGAGTGATACTGTAGGCAATGATACTGTAGGGAGTGATATGTAGGGTTGAGGGTGATACTGTAGGGAGTGATACTGTAGGGAGTGATACTGTAGGGAGTGATACTGTAGGTAATGATACTGTAGGGAGTGATTACTGTAGGGAGAGATACTGTAGGGAGTGATACTGTAGGGCAATGATACTGTAGGGAGGATACGTAGGGAGTGATACTGTAGGGAGTGATACTGTAGGCAATGATACTGTAGGGAGTGATACTGTAGGCAGAGATACTGTAGGGAGTGATACTGTAGGAGATGATACTGTAGGGAATGATGACTGTAGGGAGAGATACTGTAGGGAGGATACTGTAGGGAGTGATACTGTAGGGAGTGATACTGTAGGCAATGATAACTGTAGGGAGCGATACTGTAGGGAGTGATTACTGTAGGGAGGTGATACTGTAGGGAGAGATACTGTAGGGAGAGATTACTGTAGGGAGTGATACTGTAGGGATGATACTGTAGGCAATGATACTGTAGGAGGATTACTGTAGGGAGGGATACTGTAGGGAGTGATACTGTAGGCAATGATACTGTAGGGAGAGATACTGTAGGCAATGATACTGTAGGGAGTGATACTGTAGGCAATGATACTGTAGGGAGAGATACTGTAGGGAGTGATACTGTAGGGAGAGATACGTAGGGAGTGATTACTGTAGGGAGTGATACTGTAGGGAGTGATACTGTAGGCATGATACTGTAGGGAGTGATACTGTAGGGAGAGATACTGTAGGGATGTATATGTAGGCATGATATGTAGGGAAGTACTGTAGAGGGGTGATACTGTAGGGGAGTGATACTGTAGGCAATGATACTGTAGGGAGAGATACTGTAGGCAATGATACTGTAGGGAGTGATACTGTAGGCAATGATACTGTAGGGAGTGATACTGTAGGGAGTGATACTGTAGGTAATGATACTGTAGGGAGTGATACTGTAGGCAATGATACTGTAGGGAGTGATACTGTAGGCAATGATACTGTAGGGTGAGATACTGTAGGGAGTGATACTGTAGGGAGAGATACTGTAGGGAGTGATACTGTAGGGAGTGATACTGTAGGGAGTGATACTGTAGGGAGTGATACTGTAGGGAGAGATACTGTAGGGAGTGATAATGTAAGGAGTGATACTGTAGGTAATGATACTGTAGGTAATGATACTGTAGGGAGAGATACTGTAGGGAGTGATACTGTAGGGAGTGATACTGTAGGGAGTGATACTGTAGGGAGTGATACTGTAGGCAATGATACTGTAGGGAGAGATACTGTAGGTAGTGATACTGTAGGGAGTGATACTGTAGGGAGTGATACTGTAGGGAGTGATACTGTAGGGAGTGATACTGTAGGGAGTGATACTGTAGGGAGAGATACTGTAGGGAGTGATACTGTTTGGAGTGATACTGTAGGGAGAGATACTGTAGGGAGTGATACTGTAGGGAGAGATACTGTAGGGAGTGATACTGTAGGGAGTGATACTGTAGGGAGTGATACTGTAGGTAATGATACTGTAGGTAATGATACTGTAGGGAGAGATACTGTAGGGAGTGATACTGTTAGGGGAGTGATACTGTTTGGAGGTGATACTGTAAGGAGTGATATGTAGGTAATGATACTGTAGGTAATGATTACTGTAGGCGAGAGATACTGTAGGGAGTGATACTGTAGGGAGTGATACTGTAGGGAGAGATACTGTAGGCAATGATACTGTAGGGAGTGATACTGTAGGGAGTGATACTGTAGGGAGTGATACTGTAGGCAATGATACTGTAGGGAGAGATACTGTTGGAGTGATACTGTAGGGAGAGATACTGTAGGGAGTGATACTGTAGGAGAGGATACTGTAGGGAGTGATACTGTAGGGGGATATGTAGGGAGTGATACTGTAGGTAATGATACTGTAGGTAATGATACTGTAGGGAGAGATACTGTAGGGAGTGATACTGTAGGGAGTGATACTGTTTGGATTGATACTGTAAGGAGTGATACTGTAGGTAATGATACTGTAGGTAATGATACTGTAGGGAGAGATACTGTAGGGAGTGATACTGTAGGGAGTGATACTGTAGGTAATGATACTGTAGTGAGTGATACTGCATTTGATTATGGGCCATTCTAAATCTAAACAAATTTGACATATTAGTAAAGACAAGATTAAATTGAGAATAGTCTGATGGGTGAAAATATGGTCACTTGATGAGAGAACAGCGTGTGCTGCCTGAGGCAAGGAACAGAGCACAAGCTTTTTATGCAAATCATCAATAGCCTATAGTTACATCATGCAGCCCACATATGTTTTGATTTCTAAGACATTCTAAGGTTTGTTAGTAACTAAAGTTGCTAAATAACTCTAAATCTAATTTATAAGACCTGTTTCAAATGATCACTTTTATGCTCAACATAGCCACTTCATATGCGCAATCGTTCCGGAATGGGAAAAATATCCTTTCTATTTTATTCAGCTAAGTTCAATTATATTCTTCTTACTATAAAATCATTTAATATAAAATAATGTCACAGGATTTATGAGCATATCTTGTCTGCTTAACGAACAAGCCGACAGCCTATGGCATGGAGCATAGCCAGATAAGATGCACTAGGCCAACTCCTATTCTGTTCTTCTGAAATACATTATCTTCATATCATAATGTTTCTTTAGACCTGCCTAAAATAAATCATGGATTTATTGTGATGGTGTGTATTAAATTGATTTATTAGACTTTAACACAATTCAATAATGACTTTTTGCCATATATCACAATAACCATATGGACAAGTCAGTTGAGCGTGACACTGTAAATGTTCAATGGGATAAAAGCTTGAATATGTAGTGTGAAGAAGAAGAAGAAGAAGAAGAGAAGAAGAAGAAGAAGAAGAAGAAGTAGTAGTAGTAGTAGTAGTGTATATGTGGAGTAGTGTAGATATGGTTAGGGTATGTATTGATATGGGATTTATAAATTGATATTAGGTAATTGAGTAGAAGGGGTAAAAAGGAGTGAAGGGGGTGTAGGTAGATGAGTAGATTATTGTGTTATGGGTTATGTTGTTTAGGATTTAAGGGGTAGGGAAAAGGTAGTAAGGGTTAGGGTTATGTATTAGTGTAGGTAGGGTTGTTGAGGGATATAGGGTGTAGTAGGTAATTAGTGTAGTAAGAATGTGGTAGGGTTAGGGTCAGGGGTAGGGTTTAGGGTTAGGTAGGTTAGGTATGTAGGGTTGGGTTAAAGTAGGGTGTAGGGATATGTAGGGTTAGGGTTATGTAGGGTTAGGGATATGTAGGGTTAGGGTTATGTAGGGTTAGGGATATGTAGGGTTAGGGATATGTAGGGTTAAGGATATGTAGGGTTAGGGATATGTAGGGTCAGGGTTAGGGTTATGTAGGGTTAGGGTTATGTAGGGTTAGGGTTAGGGGAATGTGTAGGGTTAGGGATATGTAGGGTTAGGGATATGAAGGGTTAAGTATGTAGGTTAGGGTTATGTATGGTTAGGGATATGTAGGTTAGGTGTAGGGTTAGGGATATGTAGGGTTAGGGTTATGTAGGTTTAGGGATATGTAGGGTTAGGGATATGTAGGGTTAAGGATATGTAGGGTTAGGGATATGTAGGGTCAGGGTTAGGGTTATGTAGGGTTAGGGTTATGTAGGGTTAGGGTTATGTAGGGTTAGGGATATGTAGGGTTAGGGATATGTAGGGTTAGGGATATGTAGGGTTAGGGATATGTTGGGTTAGGGTTATGTAGGGTTAGGGATATGTAGGGTTAGGGTTATGTAGGGTTAGGGATATGTAGGGTTGTGGTTATGTAGGGTTAGGGTTATGTAGGGTTAGGGTTATGTAGGGTTAGGGATATGTAGGGTTAGGGATGTGTAGGGTTAGGGATATGTAGGGTTGTGGTTATGTAGGGTTAGGGTTATGTAGGGTTAGGGATATGTAGGGTTAGGGATATGTAGGGTTGTGGTTATGTAGGGTTATGGTTATGTAGAGTTAGGGATATGTAGGGTTGTGGTCATGTAGGGTTAGGGATATGTAGGGTTAGGGATATGTAGGGTTAGGGATATGTAGGGTTAGGGATATGTTGGGTTAGGGTTATGTAGGGTTAGGGTTATGTAGGGTTAGGGTTATGTAGGGTTAGGGTTATGTAGGGTTAGGGATATGTAGGGTTAGGGATATGTAGGGTTAAGGATATGTAGGGTTAGGGTTATGTAGGGTTAGGGATATGTAGGGTTAGGGTTATGTAGGGTTAGGGATATGTTGGGTTAGGGTTATGTAGGGTTAGGGTTATGTAGGGTTAGGGATATGTAGGGTTAGGGATATGTAGGGTTAAGGATATGTAGGGTTAGGGATATGTAGGGTTAGGGTTAGGGTTATGTAGGGTTAGGGTTATGTAGGGTTAGGGTTATGTAGGGTTAAGGATATGTAGGGTTGTGGTTATGTAGGGTTAGGGTTATGTATGGTTAGGGTTATGTAGGGTTAGGGATATGTAGGGTTAGGGATGTGTAGGGTTAGGGATATGTAGGGTTGTGGTTATGTAGGGTTAGGGTTATGTAGGGTTAGGGATATGTAGGGTTAGGGATATGTAGGGTTGTGGTTATGTAGGGTTAGGGTTATGTAGAGTTAGGGATATGTAGGGTTAGGGATATGTAGGGTTGTGGTTATGTAGGGTTAGGGATATGTAGGGTTGTGGTCATGTAGGGTTAGGGATATGTAGGGTTATGTAGGTTTGGGTTATGTAGGGTTAGGGATATGTAGGGTTGTGGTTATGTAGGGTTAGGGATATGTAGGGTTAGGGATATGTAGGGTTATGTAGGGTTGGAGTTATGTAGGGTTAGGGATATGTAGGGTTAGGTAGGGTTAGGGATATGTAGGGTTGTGGTTATGTAGGGTTAGGGATATGTAGGGTTATGTAGGGTTGGAGTTATGTAGGGTTACGGATATGTAGGGTTATGTAGGGTTAGGGATATGTAAAGTTGTGGTTATGTAGGGTTAGGGATATGTAGGGTTATGTAGGGTTAGGGTTATGTAGGGTTAGGGATATGTAGGGTTATGTAGGGTTGGAGTTATGTAGGGTTAGGGATATGTAGGGTTATGTAGGGTTGGAGTTATGTAGGGTTAGGGATATGTAGGGTTATGTAGGGTTGGGGATATGTAGGGTTATGTAGGGTTGGAGTTATGTAGGGTTAGGGATATGTAGGGTTATGTAGGGTTAGGGATATGTAAAGTTGTGGTTATGTAGGGTTAGGGATATGTAGGGTTATGTAGGGTTAGGGTTATGTAGGGTTAGGGATATGTAGGGTTATGTAGGGTTGTGGTTATGTAGGGTTAGGGATATGTAGGGTTATGTAGGGTTGGAGTTATGTAGGGTTAGGGATATGTAGGGTTATGGAGGGGTAGGGATATGTAAAGTTGTGGTTATGTAGGGTTAGGGATATGTAGGGTTATGTAGGGTTAGGGTTATGTAGGGTTAGGGATATGTAGGGCTATGTTACGGTTAGGGATATGTAGGGTTGTGGTTATGTAGGGTTAGGGATATGTAGGGTTATGTAGGGTTAGGGATATGTAGGGTTGTGGTTATGTAGGGTTAGGGATATGTAGGGTTGTGGTTATGTAGGGTTAGGGATATGTAGGGTTATGTAGGGTTAGGGTTATGTAGGGTTAGGGATATGTAAGGTTGTGGTTATGTAGGGTTAGGGATATGTAGGGTTATGTAGGGTTAGGGATATGTAAGGTTGTGGTTATGTAGGGTTAGGGATATGTAGGGTTGTGGTTATGTAGGGTTAGGGATATGTAGGGTTATGTAGGGTTAGGGATATGTCGGGTTAGGGATATGTAGGGTCATGGTTATGTAGGGTTAGGGATATGTAGGGTTATGTAGGGTTAGGGATATGTAGGGTTGTGGTTATGTAGGGTTAGGGGTATGTAGGGTTGTGGTTATGTAGGGTTAGGGATATGTAGGGTTGTGGTTATGTAGGGTTAGGGATATGTAGGGTTAGGGATATGTAGGGATATGTAGGGTTATGTAGGGTTAGGGATATGTAGGGTTATGTAGGGTTAGGGTTATGTAGAATTAGGGATATGTAGGTTTATGTAGGGTTAGGGATATGTAAAGTTGTGGTTATGTAGGGCTAGGGATATGTAGGGTTATGTAGGGTTAGGGTTATGTAGGGTTAGGGATATGTAGGGTTATGTAGGGTTGGAGTTATGTAGGGTTAGGGATATGTAGGGTTATGTAGGGTTGGAGTTATGTAGGGTTAGGGATATGTAGGGTTATGTAGGGTTGGGGATATGTAGGGTTATGTAGGGTTGGAGTTATGTAGGGTTAGGGATATGTAGGGTTATGTAGGGTTAGGGATATGTAAAGTTGTGGTTATGTAGGGTTAGGGATATGTAGGGTTATGTAGGGTTAGGGTTATGTAGGGTTAGGGATATGTAGGGTTATGTAGGGTTGTGGTTATGTAGGGTTAGGGATATGTAGGGTTATGTAGGGTTGGAGTTATGTAGGGTTAGGGATATGTAGGGTTATGTAGGGTTAGGGATATGTAAAGTTGTGGTTATGTAGGGTTAGGGATATGTAGGGTTATGTAGGGTTAGGGTTATGTAGGGTTAGGGATATGTAGGGCTATGTACGGTTAGGGATATGTAGGGTTGTGGTTATGTAGGGTTAGGGATATGTAGGGTTATGTAGGGTTAGGGATATGTAGGGTTGTGGTTATGTAGGGTTAGGGATATGTAGGGTTGTGGTTATGTAGGGTTAGGGATATGTAGGGTTATGTAGGGTTAGGGATATGTAAGGTTGTGGTTATGTAGGGTTAGGGATAGGTAGGGTTGTGGTTATGTAGGGTTAGGGATATGTAGGGTTATGTAGGGTTAGGGATATGTCGGGTTAGGGATATGTAGGGTCATGGTTATGTAGGGTTAGGGATATGTAGGGTTATGTAGGGTTAGGGATATGTAGGGTTGTGGTTATGTAGGGTTAGGGATATGTAGGGTTGTGGTTATGTAGGGTTAGGGATATGTAGGGTTGTGGTTATGTAGGGTTAGGGATATGTAGGGTTGTGGTTATGTAGGGTTAGGGATATGTAGGGTTAGGGATATGTAGGGATATGTAGGGTTATGTAGGGTTAGGGATATGTAGGGTTATGTAGGGTTAGGGTTATGTAGAATTAGGGATATGTAGGGTTAGGGTTATGTAGGGTTAGGGATATGTAGGGTTGTGGTTATGTAGGGTTAGGGATATGTAGGGTTATGTAGGGTTAGGGTTATGTAGGGTTAGGGATATGTAGGGCTATGTACGGTTAGGGATATGTAGGGTTGTGGTTATGTAGGGTTAGGGATATGTAGGGTTATGTAGGGTTAGGGATATGTAGGGTTGTGGTTATGTAGGGTTAGGGATATGTAGGGTTGTGGTTATGTAGGGTTAGGGATATGTAGGGTTATGTAGGGTTAGGGATATGTAAGGTTGTGGTTATGTAGGGTTAGGGATAGGTAGGGTTGTGGTTATGTAGGGTTAGGGATATGTAGGGTTATGTAGGGTTAGGGATATGTCGGGTTAGGGATATGTAGGGTCATGGTTATGTAGGGTTAGGGATATGTAGGGTTATGTAGGGTTAGGGATATGTAGGGTTGTGGTTATGTAGGGTTAGGGATATGTAGGGTTGTGGTTATGTAGGGTTAGGGATATGTAGGGTTGTGGTTATGTAGGGTTAGGGATATGTAGGGTTGTGGTTATGTAGGGTTAGGGATATGTAGGGTTAGGGATATGTAGGGATATGTAGGGTTATGTAGGGTTAGGGATATGTAGGGTTATGTAGGGTTAGGGTTATGTAGAATTAGGGATATGTAGGGTTAGGGTTATGTAGGGTTAGGGATATGTAGGGTTGTGGTTATGTAGGGTTAGGGATATGTAGGGTTAGGGATATGTAAAGTTGTGGTTATGTAGGGTTAGGGATATGTAGGGATATGTAGGGTTAGGGTTATGTAGGGTTAGGGATATGTAGGGTTAGGGATATGTAAAGTTGTGGTTATGTAGGGTTAGGGATATGTAGGGTTAGGGATATGTAAAGTTGTGGTTATGTAGGGTTAGGGATATGTAGGGATATGTAGGGTTAGGGTTATGTAGGGTTAGGGATATGTAGGGTTAGAGTTATGTAGGGTTAGGGATATGTAGGGTTAGGGATATGTAGGGTTAGGGTTATGTAGGGTTAGGGATATGTAGGGTTGTGGTTATGTAGGGTTATGTAGGGTTAGGGATATGTAGGGTTAGGGATATGTAGGGATATGTAGGGTTAGGGTTATGTAGGGTTAGGGATATGTAGGGTTGTGGTTATGTAGGGTTAGGGATATGTAGGGTTAGGGATATGTAGGGTTATGTAGGGTTGTAGTTATGTAGGGTTAGGGATATGTAGGGTTAGGGATATGTAGGGTTATGTAGGGTTAGGGATATGTAGGGTTAGGGATATGTAGGGTTAGGGATATGTAGGGTTAGGGATATGTAGGGATATGTAGGGTTAGGGTTATGTAGGGTTAGGGATATGTAGGGATATGTAGGGTTAGGGATATGTAGGGTTATGTAGGGTTAGGGATATGTAGGGTTATGTAGGGTTAGGGATATGTAGGGTTAGGGATATGTAGGGTTATGTAGGGTTATGGATATGTAGGGTTATGTAGGGTTAGGGATATGTAGGGTTAGGGTTATGTAGGGTTAGGGATATGTAGGGTTGTGGTTATGTAGGGTTAGGGATATGTAGGGTTAGGGTTATGTAGGGTTAGGGATATGTAGGGTTAGGGTTATGTAGGGTTAGGGATATGTAGGGTTAGGGTTATGTAGGGTTATGTAGGGTTAGGGATATGTAGGGTTAGGGATATGTAGGGTTGTGGTTATGTAGGGTTATGTAGGGTTAGGGATATGTAGGGTTATGTAGGGTCTTACCCAGGCAGGTACCACTACTCAGCCAGAAGGGGACTCGGAGCTCAGTGAGGGTCCTGGCAGCTAGGTGGAGCAGAGCCTTAGCTTTCATCCTGAAGTTCATTGCCTCAGGAGATGTGTCATCAGGGTACAGCTGATTCAACAGAGAACAACCCTGGTTAGATGTAGTGAACTAAACCAAAGTCCAAACCATAGGCTGGAATCCGAACTTCAAATTTGAGATACAGCTGATTCAACAGCAGGGAACAACACTTAGCTAGTGGACTAAACCAAAGTCCAAAGGCCCAATGGGTCCTGGTCAAAAGTAGTGCGCTATATATGGAATAGTGAGACTTGAAACTACAGACCTGGAAGAAGGAGCGAGCGTCCCTGTATCTGCACTCCAGAAAACGAGCCTGGGAATATTCAGTCAGGAATCCAGAGATGTTCCTGGGGATCCGGACATCCAGCCCGTCCAACGTGGTCATTACCAGCTCTGGCCTGACAGGAGAGAGACAACCAAGCTAAGTTTCCTCACAATCGTCAGCCTTCTGTGGTTATTTACAAATACTCAATGTCTGCAGGTATAATGCATTATGATGCAGTTATAATGCACTGTAAGACTTGTCATGAGCATGTATGACCCCTTACGGTGTTGTTTCTGGACTGTTCTAAGGAATGGGAGGTTTACAGAAGAAGCAAGTACAGAGGAAAGAAGGGCTGGGGTGTATTCACTATAGAACCAAATGGAAGAAAACCGCCCAAAACGGGAAGAGACTAACTTGAACTTATCCAATTAGAAACTATTGTTTTCGTTGGCAAAAGGTTTTGCTACTATATGCACTAATGAATACACCTGTTGTCTACCTACCTGTCATAGGCTCCAGCGTTGCGGCCATAGTCCAGCCTTCTGAAGGGGGCGAACTTCCTGTCCATGTTTGGTTTGAGTCGCAGGGCGCCGTGCCACAGGTAGTTCCCGCTGCGCTCGTACAGGACCACCACGTGGACCACGTAACCTTGGAGACGGAACAGGAAGTGGAGGGGGATCTCGTTTCCTGATAGGTCATCCATGCTGACCAATCGAGGGTCTTTCCCTCGCACCTCCAACAGTTCGAAGCCCTTCTCTTCAGCTGCTGCCACCAAACCAGCCTGACCACAACACAGACAGATACCAGGGTCATGTTCATTAGGCACCAAATGGAAAGAAAAAGGACAGAAACTTTTAGCTAAAAACATTTAGCTACGGTGTGTGCTAATGAATAAAACCCAGGCTTCTGTTCAAATAACTACTGGACATGTCAGAGAAGTCAAACCTATCACTCCAAGGACGTTATTAGCTCTGCTTAGAATCAAATGAGGACATTATTAGAGAAACAGCTCTAAACCAAACAGTTCTAGATCTCTATAGCTAGCTTCATATCTAGCTCTATATATATCTCTCTCTATATATATATATATCTAGCTCTATATCTCTCTCTATATATATAGATCTATATCTAGCTCTATATATCTCTCTCTCTATATATAGATCTATATCTAGCTCTATATATCTCTCTCTATATATATATCTATATCTAGCTCTATATCTAGCTCTATATCTCTATATCTAGCTCTATATCTCTATATCTAGCTCTATATATCTAAATCTAGCTCTATATCTCTATATCTAGCTCTACATCTCTATATCTATAGCTCTATATCTCTATATCTATAGCTCTATATCTAGCTCTATATCTCTATATCTAGCTATATATATCTATATATCTCTATATCTCTATATCTAGCTCTATATCTCTATATCTAGCTCTATATCTCTATATCTAGCTCTATATCTAGCTCTATATCTCTATATCTAGCTCTATATCTCTATATCTAGCTCTATATCTCTATATCTAGCTCTATATCTAGCTATATATCTCTATATCTAGCTCTATATCTCTATATCTAGCTCTATATCTCTATATCTCTATATCTATCTCTATATCTCTATATCTAGCTCTATATATAGCTCTATATCTCTATATCTAGCTCTATATCTCTATATCTAGCTCTATATATATATATATATCTAGCTCTATATCTCTATATCTATATCTCTATATCTAGCTCTATATCTCTATATCTAGCTCTATATCTCTATATCTATCTCTATATCTATATCTCTATTTATGCATAGTATTTATGCATAGTCACTTTAACTCTACCCACATGTACATATTACCTCAACTACCTCAACTAGCCGGTGCCCCCGCACATTGACTCTGCAACGGTACCCCCCAGTATATATAGCCTCCCTACTGTCACTTTATTTTACTGTATATATAGCCTCCCTACTGTCACTTTATTTTACTTCTGGTCTTTTTTTCTCAACACTTTTTTGTTGTTGTTTTATTCTTACTTTTTTGTTTAAAATAAATGCACTGTTGGTTAAGGGCTGTAAGTAAGCATTTCACTGTAATGTCTGCACCTGTTGTATTCGGCGCATGTGACCAATAAAATTTGATTTGATTTGATTTGATTTATATCTAGCTCTATATCTCTATATCTAGCTCTATATCTCTATATCTAGCCCTATATCTCTATATCTAGCTCTATATCTCTATATCTAGCTCTATATCTCTATATCTAGCACTATATCTCTATATCTAGCTCTATATCTCTATATATAGCTCTATATCTCTACATCTATCTCTATATCTATCTCTATCTCTATATCTCTATATCTAGCTCTATATCTAGCACTATATCTCTATATCTAGCTCTATATCTCTATCTCTCTATATCTATCTCTATATCTATCTCTCTATATCTCTATATCTAGCTCTATATCTATCTCTATATCTCTATATCTAGCTCTATATCTCTATATCTAGCTCTATATCTCTATATCTAGCTCTATATATCTATATATAGCTCTATATCTAGCTCTATATCTCTATATCTAGCTCTATATCTCTATATCTAGCTCTATATCTCTATATCTAGCTCTATATCTCTATATCTAGCTTAACATCTCTATATCTAGCTCTATATCGCTATATCTAGCTCTATATCTCTATATCTAGCTCTATATCTCTATATCTATCTCTATATCTATCTCTATATCTCTATATCTAGCTCTATATCTCTATATCTAGCTCTATATCTCTATATCTAGCTCTATATCTCTATATCTAGCTCTATATCTCTATATCTCTATCTATCTCTATATCTAGCTCTATATCTCTATATCTCTATATCTAGCTCTATATCTCTATATCTAGCTCTATATCTCTACATCTATCTCTATATCTATCTCTATATCTCTATATCTAGCTCTATATCTAGCACTATATCTCTATATCTAGCTCTATATCTCTATATCTATATCTCTATATATCTATCTCTATATCTATCTCTATATCTAGCTCTATATCTATCTCTATATCTAGCTCTATATCTCTATATCTAGCTCTATATCTAGCTCTATATCTCTATATCTAGCTCTATATCTCTATATCTAGCTCTATATCTCTATATCTAGCTCTATATCTCTATATCTAGCTTAACATCTCTATATCTAGCTCTATATCTATATCTAGCTCTATATCTCTATATCTATAGCTCTATAGCCGTTAATTCCTTACGTCGTATTTCCAGAGGTTGCTGAGCAGAGCGAAGGTGAGGACGTCTCTGTTAGTGCAGAGGAAATTGCAGTGGGGTTCTTTAACCAGGCCGTCTCTCAGCAGCATAGAGTCCTGAGAGAGGAGTCCTAGAGAGGCTGTGTCCACCAGGAACACTGGCAGGTTGTACTTATGGACCAGCCCCATGAACTTCTTCACCACCTGCTGTAGGACAGGGTCACGATTCAACAACAACAACACACCCATTACTGCATATTGTTCAGAGGACTGGAAATAACAGGTTACTCAAATAGACAGACTATTCTTCATTTTAACCCAACATAGGTTCTATTCAAAGATTAGCGGTAGGTCATTCTGTATATGTGTTGTTTATCTGTGGGGAAAACAGTCATGGAATAGAAGCTCTAGCCTATAAAGAGCTTACCCATTGAGTATCCTTTCCTGACAGATGCACTGTCCTGCCAAAGATATGTGGTCCATTCTAAAACGACATCAACAGTTTAAACATTGTGGTGAACGCAAGCACATTACTTCCAGTTTGTATGGCAAAAATAGGCCAGCCAGTGGGTCAATATCCATGCATAGATTTACAGCAAACGTATGTGGTCAAGTTCAACCCACCTGAGAGACATGCTGTCTGTAGTGATAGAGCTGGAACAGGAGGAAAACAGAGCTGGTAGCTATGAGGAGGGCCAGAACCGTTGTTTTGTTAAAGCGAAGCATCAGTCCTCCTTAGTTGCTCTGGCACAGTAGAGCCAAAGATTTCATCTGTGGTAGAGCAGTAGCAGTGTTGCAGAGCCTCAGGTGGTCCGCTAACCATGTTCATCAGATGGCAGGGATACTGAGAGAGAGAGAGAGAGAGAGAGAGAGAGAGAGAGAGAGATGCAACTCACTACAGTGTATGTCAGGGATAGGCAACTGGAGGGACACCCCCCCCCCTTCAATTTCCAAAAACAGAAGGAAAAAAAAAATATAGGCCTGTTTATAGTTTTTTAGGAACTCGGTCGGGGTCTCAACTTACTGTTGAGAGTTAGAATAGTAGAATACACCAAGGTGAAATTTTGAAATTTGGTTGTGCATCAGCAGTTTTTATTTTGTTATGTGAAAACTTCGCATAGGGCCCCCAAAAGGCTAGGTCCGGCTCTGGCTGCATGTGTGGGTATGGATGTGGGTAGCAGACCCCCAGACCCCCTGACCCCCTGCGACCCGCGACCCCCTGCGGCCCCTCATGATGAGTTCGGACTTTTTTGGTGGCCCCCCCACCACCATCAAAGTTTCCCATCCCTGGTGTAGGTACTGTACAGTCTCCATCTACTCTTCAGCAAAAAAATGTAGCACTGCATTTCATGTTGACACAGATGTCACTTTGAAGTAGTTACATTTAGTGTAACTGAGAGAAGATATTACAGCCCTGAAATTACTCGGGACAGAAATAACGTTATGATGCTACCGGTGCATTAGCCTAGACAGCCGATGGGCCCAGCAAACAGCATAATCATTATCAGGGACACACCGATAAACCGAGTGTTATGACACTGTTATAACGGTCACAGAGCACTGATGAAAATGCCAGCTAGCTGGATAATAATGGTCCTAGATCGAAAATACCTGAATGGCAGTTTAACTTACCAAAGCCAGTTTTGTCTTTGTGCCGTCAACGTCCTAGCTAACAAAATCCAAACAAACTGCTGTCTTCTTCTATAACAGTGACGTTGTTCACCGTCAGTTAACATCAAGTTACATCGCCTCCTGCTGGTCTGGAATACGTTGTATTTTGTGAGAGTACGACCAAAGATATTTAGAACTAATCCCTTACCCCTTACCTGTCTATGGTATGACATTATATGACATTAGGAAGGAATACCGCAAGGTGACTGACTCATACGCCTCACATAGAATAACAGCCACACATATTTGAGATAATTATCTGAAATCAAATGTCAGTTGGAGCGAGCATGTCATTGGCCGTGTTCCAGAGGCTCAAAACCGCAATGTATCATGGGTAAATTGTGACTGACTGATCTACAAACGATAATGAGTGGTTATTTATGATGCAATGTGATTTGTAAATCAGTCAGGCAGTCTCCTGCAGACGTTTTGATGCTCTCGGCGGCCGTCTGCGCTGAGCTGTCTGATGGCTTCTTGGCTAGAAGGGATCCAGCTTTTGTGAAATTAACTTCAGAATCAGATTTTACTTTTCGTAGCAAGTTAGGAGAATTTACGCAGCAGGTTAGGAAAGGGGTTAGGGTTAGCTTTTGACGCCTCCTCGACCAATCAGATGAGGGAGTGTGATAACGCGGTTCTGGCATATCTGGACCAAAAATACATTCAGGAACAAGAGCTGCAATTGGCAACGTAAATCCAATTCATAACATTGAAAAGGGACAAAGGTTTGGGGCAAAAGTAGCTACACTCATCTAAAATGAGCTAGCTAGCTAGCATAAGGGATTCCATGCCAAGAACAGAGGAGTTATTCTATTTGATAGAGCAACGTTGTTAGTTTCCCTACAAGCCTTTCATTCTAATAGTAATATATCATATTCTTGACCTTCAACAGATGCACAGCCTTTGGCAGGAAAACAACTCAGCTGGGAGAGTAAAAGCCTCCCATTTAATGGTGTTCCGTTTCATGTCGGCACAAAGATGTATGAATGCTACCAGGGGAAACACAGACTGCCAAACAAAAGCCAAAGAGAAATATATAGCCTCCCTATAAAGGTAACATGAATGTAAAATGTATGTGTAACAAAATATCTGTAAAAAACTAAAATGTAAAACAAAGTTACTTTTATCCTCCGAAGAGGGGGTGGATGGGCCAATCAAATAAATACAAATAAAGAGGATGTAATTTTTATTTATTTATTTAACCTTTATTTAACTAGGCAAGTCAGTTAAGAACAAATTCTTATTTACAATGACCGCCTACACCGGCCAAACCCGGACAATGCTGGGCCAATTGTGCGCCCCAATGGGGTTAGGGTGGTGAGTTTCCCCTGTATAGAGTGGGGTTAGGGTGGTGAGTTTCCCCTGTATAGAGTGGAGTTAGGGTGGTGAGTTTCCCCTGTATAGAGTGGGGTTAGGGTGGTGAGTTTCCCCTGTATAGAGTGGGGTTAGGGTGGTGAGTTTCCCCTGTATAGAGTGGGGTTAGGGTGGTGAGTTCCCCCTGTATAGAGTGGGGTTAGGGTGGTGAGTTTCCCCTGTATAGAGTGGGGTTAGGGTGGTGAGTTCCCCCTGTATAGAGTGGGGGTTAGGCTTGTGAGTTTCCCCTGTATAGAGTGGGGTTAGGGTGGTGAGTTTCCCCTGTATAGAGTGGGGTTAGGGTGGTGAGTTTCCCCTGTATAGAGGGGTGTTAGGGTGGTGAGTTTCCCCTGTATAGAGTGGGGTTAGGGTGGTGAGTTCCCCCTGTATAGAGTGGGGTTAGGGTGGTGAGTTTCCCCTGTATAGAGGGGGGTTAGGGTGGTGAGTTTCCCCTGTATAGAGTGGGGTTAGGGTGGTGAGTTTCCCCTGTATAGAGTGGGGTTAGGGTGGTGAGTTTCCCCTTACACTGTAAAGAGCTTTGGATGTCTAGAAAAGAGCCATGTGAGTCCAATCAATGATCATTATTATTACATGTTTTGCCATCTTCCATAGCTTGAAGACCATGCCTTCGTACAGAGATGGAAACTGGTACAAAATAGCAAAAAGGTGGACTGCAGGGCTATGTTAAGTTAAATAAATAAATGACTGTAGTAAGTGTCTAGGTACCAAATAAAGTAACAGGGTTGAAGTATATCTTAAAATCAGCCAATTTCTAAAATATAAATGTCGGTGAACATTTATGTGAAACGGTATGTTTTACTTGTGGATTTTGAAAATAAACATGTAAAATCAAGATGTGTCAATTTGTTTGTCTACATACCATTTTAAAAATAATTAATATATGCAAATCAAATCAAATGTTATTGGTCACATACACATGTTTAGCAGATGTTATTCGCGGGTGTAGCGGAATGCTTGTAGATATTGGAGTAAACCTGTTTTGGGTTAAGACAAGTAACTGAGTAATTGAAAACATAAGCTTGCAAGCTGAGTTTGAATAAGACATCCGATTAACACTGCATTTATAACGGTTGGTTTTACTATATCTAATAAATAACCAAATCATTGATGGATCAATAGATAAAATAAACGAATGTCTCTCGTCTGGCGCTGCAAACTGGGGAGGCATACGCGTCACCACACTCTATCTGATTGGTCGAGTAGGCGGGCCTTCTGACTTTGTGGCTGTAGTAACTAGTGACGACCTTGTCGGTTAGGATAGTCTGGTGGATAGTCTGGGGGATAGTCTGGTGGATAGTCTGGTGGATAGTCTGGTGGATAGTCTGGTGGATAGTCTGGTGGATAGTCTGGTTGTGGATAGTCTGGTGGATAGTCTGGGGGATAGTCTGGTGGATAGTCTGGTGGATAGTCTGGTGGATAGTCTGGTGGATAGTCTGGTGGATAGTCTGTCTGGTGGATAGTCTGGTGGATAGTCTGGTGGATAGTCTGGTGGATAGTCTGGTGGATAGTCTGGTGGATAGTCTGGTGGATAGTCTGGGGATAGTCTGGTGGATAGTCTGGGTGTGATAGTCCTAGTGGTGGATAGTCGGGGTGTATAGTCTGGTGGATAGTCTGTGGATAGTGGGTGGATTGGGATAGTCGGTGATGTCTGTGGATAGTCTTGGTGGATAGTCTGGTGGATAGTCTGGTGGATAGTAGCTGGGGGGTTGGGTAGTCTGTGGAAGTGGATAGTCGGGTTGGATATCTGTGGATAGTCTGTGGATAGTCTGGTGGATAGTCTGGTGGATAGTCTGGTGGATAGTCTGGTGGATAGCCCGGTGGTGTCTGGGGGATATCTGGGGGATATCTGGGGGATAGTCTGGGGATGTCTGGGGAAATCGGTGGATAGTCTGGGGTAGTTGGTGGATAGTTGGTGGATATCGGTGGTAGTTTGGGGGATAGTCTGGTGATGTCTGGGGGATGTCTGGTGGTGGATAGTCTGGTGGGGGGTAGTTGGTATCTGGTGGATGTCAGTGGATAGTCTGGGGATATCTGGTGGGGGGGTAGTTGGTGGTAGTCGGGGGGTAGTCGGGGGGAAATTGGTGGGTAGTCTGGTGGATGTTGGATAGCTGGTGGGTAGTCGGTGGATGTCTGGAAGTCTGGTGGAATCTGGTGGATAGTCTGGGGGTGTCGGTGGATTCCTTTGGGGGATATCTGGGGGATGTTTGGATGCTTTGGTGGTGGAAGTCTGGGGTGGATGTCTGGGGATAGTCTGGTGGTACTGGGGGAATTTGTCTTGGTGGATAGTCTGGGATAGCTGGGGGATAGTCGGTGGGTGGTGGATAGTCTGGTGGATAGTCTGGTGGATAGTCTAGTGGATAGTCTGGTGGATAGTCTGGTGGATAGTCTGGTGGATAGTCTGGTGGATAGTCTGGTGGATAGTCTGGTGGATAGTCTGGTGGATAGTCTGGTGGATAGTCTGGTGGATAGTCTGGTGGATAGTCTGGTGGATACGTCTGGTGGATAGTCTGGGTGGATAGTCTGGTGGATAGTCTGGTGGATAGTCTGGTGGATAGTCTGTCTGGTGGATAGTCTGGTGGATAGTCTGGTGGATAGTCTGGTGGATAGTCTGGTGGATAGTCTGGCTAGCCTAACATTTGAAAAAAATGTTACCAAGGTGACGTTGTCCACTGAACCCCCTTTCA